AAAAAAAAAAAAAAAAGCAGTGGGGGACCTAGCTTCCCTGAAGGGCACAGTAGGGATTAAACACGCCTGTGGGGACAGCAGCTGAGAAGCCTCCAGTTCCGGTCTCTGTCTTTCAGCCCTGAGATGACACCCCAAGCCTGGGTCCAGGCATGGAGTTCCTGACAGCACTCCAGTCCCCCTCAGGACCTCCAGCCATGGACTTGGAGGCTCTTGAGCCCCCTGATGACTGCACCCCTGACACCCCATGGCACCCGGTGCCTGAAGGCCCCAGCAATCTGAGTCAGATGGAACTTGAAGGATCAAGTGTCCAGGACTTGGTGCAACAGTTCGAGGCTCTGCCGGGGGACCTGGCGAGCCTGTCCCCAGATGGCACCCCCTGCCCGCTGCACATTGCTACAGGGCATGGCCTGGCATCCCAGGAGGTGGCTGCGGCCCATGGGCTGCTGTCGGCTGAGGCCGGTCGGGATGACCTGCTGAGCCTGCTGCGGTGTGAGCAGTGCCCCCCTCCTGAGCCCTGTCCCCATCAGCCTCCGGAGCCAGCACCTCACCTGCTGCAGCCCCCTGGGGACCCTGATGTGGAGCCTGCACCCCCCAATTGGGCAGAGCAAGGCTCTGCTGAGCAGGGGGACAGCAGGAGCTCTGGCAGCTCCCCTGAGCCATGGCCAGAGACGGCGCCTCTGGTGACACCTGAAAGGCCACGACCGGCTGGTGCCCAGGTAGCGCCTGCCCCCTCCACGGGTCCTCTGCAGCTTGGAGCCCAGCAGGGGGACTCAAGCTAGCCCCTCTTCTGTCTTCTTCCAGAACCCCGAGACCCTGGCCTCGTGCCCTGCCCTCCAGGAAGGTGAGTGTCCCTCCTACCCTGGCCCCAGGACTCCAGTCTAGACCACTGGAAATGGTGCCGAAGACCCGCACCAAGTGTGCCAACAAGGGCAAAATTCTAGAGAGGCTGAGGATGGTTTTAGGTTGAGTGCAGATAACCTAGAAGAGATGCTCCAGAGAATGTTCTGGAGCGAGACAAGAGTCAGGCGTGGCTCTTGACAGCACTGAGTTCTAGAACATGGGTTGGCAAAAGATCATCTGTAAATCAGATCCCGCCTTTGCTGGTCCTAGCAGGCCTCAGGAGCTGAAAGTGCCTTTTGTATTTTTGCATAGTTGAAAAACACAAAAGGAGCTGGATACACCTGTCATGCCTCTGAGGCAGGAGGATCAGGAGTTCAAAGCCAGTCTGGACAACTTAGCAAGACCTTGTCTCAAGATAAAAAGTAAAAGATAAAAGTACAAGATAAAAAGGGTTGGGGGTATAGCTCAGTGTTGAGTGCTTGCTCTCTTACTCCGAAAGAAAAAAGGAGAGTAGTGTTTCTTGACCGGTAAAAATGTTGTATAATTCAGATTTCCATGTCTGTCCATAAAGTTTTATTGAGACACAGTCAGCCCATTTGTATCTGTGTTGCCTGGCTGCTCTGGTGTGATAAAGACAGCTGGGTACAGTCATGTGCCACTCAATGACAGACTGCATGGGTGAAGCTGTGCTGTAAGGTCTGTGGCACAGCGACATTGTGATGGTCAGTGCAGGGCCAGTCTGTGAGCTCCAATTACTCAGACTTGCCCATTGTTAGGGCACAGAGCATCTGTTCCACAAAAACAAAAATATCAACCATTTGGACCTTTCCAGAAAAGGCTACTTGTTTGTCCCCTAGAAACACGGGAAGAACCAGCTCTAGCCATCTGGAATGTTCTGGAATTATCCTGCACAGATGCAAGTTCTAAGGTGGTGATGAGAGAGGGACTGTTGGGCTGTGTGGCCCTGAGAAGATTCTAGAACAATGGATGGAGCTGTGACTCACCTAGGGAGCTCCAGAGTTTGGTGTGTTGCTTGTGGTTCTAGACTTTTTTCCGGTTTGGGTTTTTTGAGATAAGATCTCACTATGTAGTCCAGGCTGGCTTTGAGCTCACTGTGTTGTTCAGGCTGGCCTTGAACTTGTGGTGATCCTCTTGTCTCAGCCTTCTAAGCGCTGAGATTACAGGTATATGCCACCACACCTGCCAAGTTGTAGTCCTGGATTAAAGGGACTTGGGCTGATGAGAATGTTCTGGAGTGATGAACACACTTGCCTGGTTCTAGTCAGACTGGAGAATTCTAGAATGCAGAACAATCAGAATTTATCTGTTGCTCTAGACCACCAGAACCCTGGGCAGAGCTGTCCAATTCTGGTGTAATCAGAAAGTTCTAGAGCAGAAGTAGACAGAATAGAATGTGAGCCACGTGTGTGATACTAAATTTTCTAGATGGCCATATAAAAATCACTTTAAAGGCTGGGCATGGTGGTACCTGCCTGTAATCTCAGCACTCAGAAGGCTGAGGCAAGATTGCTGCAAATTCAAGGCCATCCTGAACTGCATAACAAGACCCTGTTTCAAATAAAGGAAAAAAATGCTGGACATAGTGGCACACGCCTGTAATTTCAGCACTCAGGAGGCTGAGGCAGGAGGATCTCTGTGAGTTTGAGACCAGCCTGGGCTATGTAGTGAGTTCCAAGTCAGTCTCAACCACATAGTGAGACCCTGCCTCAAAAAAACAAACAAAAAAACGCTGACATTTCCAGGCATGGTGGCACACACCTGTAATCCCAGCATTCTGGTAGGCTGAGGCAGAAGGATCACCAACTTGGAGCCCAGCCTGGAAAATTTAGTGAATTAGCAAGATTATGGTTCAAAGTAAAAAATATAAAGAACTGGCTGGGGATTTAGCTCAATGGTGTTGCCGCCTGCCTTCCAAGCTCAAGGTCCCAAGTTCGATCCCTGGTACCTAAAAAAAAAAGGAGCTATGGGTGTAGCTCAGTTCCATCCCCAGCACTGAAAAAAAAAAAAGAAGCAGAAGAAAGCAGAAGTTTCAGACTTATAGAGGGAAGGTATTTCTGGTGTGCTGTTGGTTTCTGGATGACCGGGCTGGTTTGTGTGATTTGAAGCCTGTCAGTGAGTTGCAGAATCCAGGATTGGAACCATCTGGGGTTCTGGGCATTCATGGAGTTTTTTGCCTTGAAGCTGGCAGTGGTCTCTTTCCACAGCCATGGACTGGAGTCACCTGTTGCCCTGGGCTGACTGGAGCAGGGTCTAGAACAGCAGACATGGCTGGGTCTGGACTGGGGTTGACTCCAGTTCTAGAATGTTGCTCGTTTTAGAATCCAGAGCAAGATTGTCTGGTTCTAGCCTCATTGTGGAGTTCTAGAAACTAGTCTGGTCTGGTTGTGGATCGGCAAGCAGGTCTGGACCTCAGAGGGTCCCAGCTCGGGTTACACTGCCCAGGCCAGGCTGACCAAGGGCTCTGGACTCCTGGGGGCCATGTGGCAGGGCCCTGCGTGTGCAGGCCTGGGGGTGCCCTGAAGGCTAAGCCACCCCTGTCCCCCTCAGTACCTGGGCCCTGTGACCACGAGGACCTCCTGGATGGCGTCATATTTGGGGCCAAGTACTTGGGCTCCACCCAACTGCTGTCCGAGCGGAACCCACCCCCCAGCACGCGCATGGCCCAGGCGCAGGAGGCGATGGACCGCATCAAGGTGAGGCCGTGACAGTGGACAGAGGGGCCCAGGACCACGGGCAGTGGGCTCTGGGGTTCCACCTCCTCCTCCTGCCCTGCACGCAGGCTCCTGATGGGGAGACGCAGCCCATGACGGGGGTGGACCTCTTTGTGTCCACCAGGAGGATCAAGGTGCTGACAGCCGACTCCCAGGTAGGGCCGGGCAGGCCTTGGGCTGCAGGGGCTTTAGCCAGGGAAGGCCCTGCTCACCTCCCTCTCTGCAGGAGGCCATGATGGACCACGCCCTACAGACCATCTCCTACATTGCTGACATCGGCCCTGTGCTGGTGCTCATGGCCCGGCGACGGCTGGCCCGGAAGCCTGGAACCCAGGACCGCGACCGCCGCCTGTATAAGATGCTGTGTCACGTCTTCCACTCAGAGGATGTGAGCAGCGGGCCCAAACTAGTCACTAGGTTGTGACTGTCACCTCCAGCTGCCTCCCTCCCCGACCTTTCCTGCTCTTGGGCTCAGACTGTGGGGCTGAAGAAATCACCCAGGACCAGGCTGTGGCTTCCTGGTGCTCTAAGCCTCCTAGCCAAGATAGAGCCACTCTACCTCTGCAGTCAGGGCCAAGGGAAAGGAATGCTCTCGCTGACAGGGCTGCTGCGAAGAGCTTGGGCTCTGTGGGTGAACAGTTCGCTGACAAGGCCCTCCCGGTGAAATGCCCAGTCTTGCCTAGCACAGGGACAGCCCCAGTAGATACGTTCACGCTGTGGTTATCCTGCAAGCCTTCCTACAGCCTTTGCCAAGGGGTGATACCTCCCTCTGTCCTTGCCATGTATCTTCTGGGTTGCAGCCCCCTCCCCCGCCCTCCAAAGCCCCAGGGCAGGAGGCTGCATCCTGAGGACCTTGTCCCAGGAGGGTGCAGCGCTGAGGACACAAGGCCCTGGAGGCGGGTAGGGTGCTTTCCAGACACGCTGTCTCCCTGCAGGCCCAGCTCATCGCGCGGGCCATCGGCCAGGCTTTCGCCGTGGCCTACAGCCAGTTCCTGCGTGACAGCGGCATCGACCCCAGCCAGGTGGGCACCTGGCCCGGCCAGGGGGC